TTCATGAAGAGAGACCTGCACCGGCTTCATGAAGAGAGACCTGCACCAGCTTCATGAAGAGAGACCTGCACCAGCTTCATGAAGAGAGACCTGCACCAGCTTCATGAAGAAAGACCTGGACCAGCTTCATGAAGAGAGACCTGCAACCAGCTTCATGAAGAAAGACCTGCACCAGCTTCATGAAGAGAGACCTGCACCAGCTTCATGAAGAGAGACCTGCACCAGCTTCATGAAGAAAGACCTGCAACCAGCTTCATGAAGAGAGACCTGCACCAGCTTCATGAAGAAAGACCCTGCACCAGCTTCATGAAGAGAGACCTGCACCAGCTTCATGAAGAGAGACCTGCACCAGCTTCATGAAGAAAGACCTGCACCAGCTTCATGAAGAAAGACCTGCACCAGCTTCATGAAGAGAGACCTGCACCAGCTTCATGAAGAGAGACCTGCACCAGCTTCATGAAGAGAGACCTGCACCAGCTTCATGAAGAGAGACCTGCACCGGCTTCATGAAGAGAGACCTGCACCAGCTTCATGAAGAAAGACCTGCACCAGCTTCATGAAGAGAGACCTGCACCAGCTTCATGAAGAGAGACCTGCACCAGCTTCATGAAGAAAGACCTGCACCAGCTTCATGAAGAGAGACCTGCGCCAGCTTCATGAAGAAAGACCTGGACCAGCTTCATGAAGAAAGACCTGCACCAGCTTCATGAAGAGAGACCTGCACCAGCTTCATGAAGAAAGACCTGCACCAGCTTCATGAAGAGAGACCTGCACCAGCTTCATGAAGAGAGACCTGCACCGGCTTCATGAAGAGAGACCCGCACCAGCTTCATGAAGAGAGACCTGCACCAGCTTCATGAAGAGAGACCTGCACCAGCTTCATGAAGAAAGACCTGCACCAGCAGAGAGACCTGCACCAGCTTCATGAAGAGAGACCTGCACCAGCTTCATGAAGAAAGACCAGCACCAGCTTCATGAAGAGAGACCTGCACCAGCTTCATGAAGAAAGACCTGGACCACACCAGCTTCATGAAGAGAGACCTGCACCAGCTTCATGAAGAAAGACCTGGACCACACCAGCTTCATGAAGAGAGACCTGCACCAGCTTCATGAAGAAAGACCTGGACCACACCAGCTTCATGAAGAGAGACCTGCACCAGCTTCATGAAGAGAGACCTGGACCAGCTTCATGAAGAGAGACCTGCACCAGCTTCATGAAGAACGACCTGCACCAGCTTCATGAAGAAAGACCTGCACCAGCTTCATGAAGAGAGACCTGGACCAGCTTCATGAAGAGAGACCTGCACCAGCTTCATGAAGAAAGACCTGCACCAGCTTCATGAAGAAAGACCTGCACCAGCTTCATGAAGAGAGACCTGCACCAGCTTCATGAAGAAAGACCTGCACCAGCTTCATGAAGAGAGACCTGCACCAGCTTCATGAAGAAAGACCTGCACCAGCTTCATGAAGAAAGACCTGCACCAGCTTCATGAAGAGAGACCTGGACCACACCAGCTTCATGAAGAGAGACCTGCACCAGCTTCATGAAGAAATACCTGCACCAGCTTCATGAAGAGAGACCTGCACCAGCTTCATGAAGAAAGACCTGCACCAGCTTCATGAAGAGAGACCTGCACCAGCTTCATGAAGAGAGACCTGCACCAGCTTCATGAAGAGAGACCTGCACCAGCTTCATGAAGAGAGACCTGCACCAGCTTCATGAAGAGAGACCTGCACCAGCTTCATGAAGAGAGACCTGCACCAGCTTCATGAAGAAAGACCTGCACCAGCTTCATGAAGAGAGACCTGCGCCAGCTTCATGAAGAAAGACCTGGACCAGCTTCATGAAGAAAGACCTGCACCAGCTTCATGAAGAGAGACCTGCACCAGCTTCATGAAGAAAGACCTGCACCAGCTTCATGAAGAGAGACCTGCACCAGCTTCATGAAGAGAGACCTGCACCGGCTTCATGAAGAGAGACCCGCACCAGCTTCATGAAGAGAGACCTGCACCAGCTTCATGAAGAAAGACCTGCACCAGCAGAGAGACCTGCACCAGCTTCATGAAGAGAGACCTGCACCAGCTTCATGAAGAAAGACCAGCACCAGCTTCATGAAGAAAGACCAGCACCAGCTTCATGAAGAGAGACCTGCACCAGCTTCATGAAGAAAGACCTGGACCACACCAGCTTCATGAAGAGAGACCTGCACCAGCTTCATGAAGAAAGACCTGGACCACACCAGCTTCATGAAGAGAGACCTGCACCAGCTTCATGAAGAGAGACCTGCACCAGCTTCATGAAGAAAGACCTGCACCGGCTTCATGAAGAGAGACCCGCACCAGCTTCATGAAGAGAGACCTGCACCAGCTTCATGAAGAAAGACCTGCACCAGCAGAGAGACCTGCACCAGCTTCATGAAGAGAGACCTGCATCAGCTTCATGAAGAAAGACCAGCACCAGCTTCATGAAGAAAGACCAGCACCAGCTTCATGAAGAGAGACCTGCACCAGCTTCATGAAGAAAGACCTGGACCACACCAGCTTCATGAAGAGAGACCTGCACCAGCTTCATGAAGAAAGACCTGGACCACACCAGCTTCATGAAGAGAGACCTGCACCAGCTTCATGAAGAGAGACCTGCACCAGCTTCATGAAGAGAGACCTGCACCAGCTTCATGAAGAGAGACCTGCACCAGCTTCATGAAGAGAGACCTGCACCAGCTTCATGAAGAGAGACCTGCACCAGCTTCATGAAGAGAGACCTGGACCAGCTTCATGAAGAGAGACCTGCACCAGCTTCATGAAGAGAGACCTGCACCAGCTTCATGAAGAGAGACCTGCACCAGCTTCATGAAGAGAGACCTGGACCACACCAGCTTCATGAAGAGAGACCTGCACCACACCAGCTTCATGAAGAGAGACCTGCACCAGCTTCATGAAGAGAGACCTGGACCACACCAGCTTCATGAAGAGAGACCTGCACCACACCAGCTTCATGAAGAGAGACCTGCACCAGCTTCATGAAGAGAGACCTGGACCACACCAGCTTCATGAAGAGAGACCTGGACCACACCAGCTTCATGAAGAGAGACATCGATTACTGTACACTATAATGAAATAAAAAGACTTGTAAAAAAAAATATATATATATATATAGTTAAAGTAGCGACAGTAAAAGTATTCATTGTGCAGATTGGTCCATTTTATAATAATATATATAGAATTAGAAAACCACAAAAAGGTTCATAGGGACTCTTTAAACTAATACATTGTAAATCAATAAAAATAATAAAAATAGGAATCATATTAACAGGGTAACTAGTAATAAAAAATGAAAACAGAAATATTATTATATACTCATTATGCATAATGGCAACAACTACTAGATTAAACTACTAGATATGCAACAGCTACATCCAATTTCTAAGAAAGATAGAGGGAGATAAGAAGGGAGAGTGAGGGGTGTTATGGGTGTGTGTGTGTGTGTGGTGTGGTGTGTGTGTGTGTGTGTGTGTGTGTGTGTGTGTGTGTGTGTGTGTGTGTGTGTGTGTGTGTGTGTGTGTGTGTGTGTGTGTGTGTGTGTGTGTGTGTGTGTGTGTGTGTGTGTGTGTGTGTGTGTGTGTGTGTGTGTGTGTGTGTGTTCATAACGGTGTGTGAGCGCAGCAGAGAAGACACGTCAAGCAATGGAGCTCCTCTCAAACAGTGAGTATTTTTATTTTACCTTTAATGTAAAATGCACGTGTGTGTGTGTGTGTGTGTGTGTGTGTGTGTGTGTGTGTGTGTGTGTGTGTGTATGTGTGTGTGTGTGTGTGTGTGTGTATGTGTGTGTGTGTGTTGGCTTGTTTAATTTTGCTTCATTGTATTTCATTGTCACTGATGTTCTCTGGGAAGGGCAGGTTATTTAGCAGGAAAATGATAAGTAGTTTTATAATGAAATGTCACTTGTTTATATTGTAGATGTGTCAATGTGTATTATTTTGAGATGTATAGATGATAAGTAGCAAAAGCTCAACATTAGCAGCACCATGTATTTAATTACATTTTAAGTTAATGGTATAATATCCTGAATGGATGTAACTGCATATGTTGCTTATTTTCCTTTTTCCTTTATTGAATTAGTTTGTGTAAATACTTTGTTCAATATTCAATAGAATTTTTTTTTACGTGAAGGAAAAAATTATAATTATCAATTTGAACATGAATTAAAATGTCATATACATAATAATCACCTTACCTGTCTAATCTTGTCTTATCTTATTTGATCTTATATACGAGTTTAAATCTTTTCTTAAAACATTTTTTATTCACTCATTCTTTCTACACATGTAGTATTTTGTACTGAAATAATGATAATTAAACAAATAAATAAATACTAAATATATATATTAACTCTGAGATATTTCGAGGTACATTAAAGCTGGTTTTAAGATAAAGATATTATGTCTGATATAATTAAAAATAAAATGTTCTATTGTTGATTTAATTTGTCCTTAAATCTCCTTTAATCGAAAAAAAATACAAATAAAAACCATCAGATTTATTTTAATAACAGACCTAAATATGATTAAAATAATTATAGAAAACAAATTAAAATAATTGTTAACAATAATTATATTTAAGTGGCATAAAAAAAGATACTTACGTGATGAAAAAAATATATAAATAAACAAAAATAAAATGAATAAATAAAGAACAGCACAAATAATAATTCAACAAAAACATTCAAAAATAATATAATTAATTCTGTTATTTAAGGGGGATAAAAAAATGGTAACACACATTGAGAGTTACATTAAATGTGTGTGATTGCTTGTAAATATGTTTCTGTCTCTCACCACACATCCCTTCCCTCCCCTCTAGTGTCATCTGTGATTGAGCGTCATTGGAAATCCATGGCTGTGCGTCACCTCTGCGTCCTGTAACCCGGGGACACTTTCCCCCCCCCGCCGCTTTCTCAGATTTCACTGTTTCTCTCCGACCCCCCGCCACTCTGCATCGTCATGGATCTCTTGGAGCTGGAAGGCACGGGCAGCGGCTGTGGGGACAGAAACTGTGGCCGAACATCTGGCTTCTCCGAGGGGTGTTTGAACGAGGAGTGCCAGTTGGACGAACATATGTTTGGGTTCATCGAGTTAGGTGGGTCAAAAGACAATAATGCACCATGACTTTAGACCAGGGGTGTCCAAACTACAGCCTGGGGGCCAAATGCAGCCAGTAGCAAATTAAAAAAGTATAATGTAATACGGCCCACAAATGAAACTTGTGCTTGTCTTATTGTACTTCTTAAAGGTGGAGTAGGTAATTCACTTCAGAAACCCTTGTTGTTATATTCCATGGAATGCTCTTAACATCCCGATAGCAATTAATATATTTAATGCTTTGACAAAAAATGCATACAAAAATTGCATCTGTGGAAGCCGTGGCGATGTAAAAAGCACGACCAGTTATTTTAGCCGGGCCGTACACAAACTTATCTCGTGCCCTCATTGGTCATGTGCGCGTTCGTGTGTGTTGGAGGAGGGGCTCTGTAAGGAAGTCTGATGGAAGGGGCAGATTTTTTTCGGCTGTGTACTTTCAAATTCTAGCGCACTCGAGCTGGTTTCTCCATTCTTACCTACCCTACCTTTAAGAATACATGTAAAAATATATCACACAGTAGTATTCATGTGTTAATAAGACCACTTTTCAAATAAATTCAGTCAATTAAAGTTGGAAACATTCTCTAACATATCTTAGTTGATGAGAAAAAAGCCCAATAACTTATTCACATAACAAGCTTGAAATACACCCTTCCTATTTCTCCTCATTATAATCAATCTGAAGCGTCTGTTTTAAGGGATGAGCTGCCAACACTCACAAGCATCAATTACCTACTTTTGATTGATTTTGCTAACTTATAACTGAATTTATGAGGCAATAAACCTCTAGTGATGTGGCCCTCGGTGAAAAAAGTTTGCACACCCCTGCTTCAGAGGAATAAAAAGGTGCAGGGGTGTCATATTGTTGTAGTGTCCCCTGAAGGCAGCATCAATGGATTTCTCCATGGGATTTTGGATTATTATATACAAAGTAATCTCAACGTTTATGATATTTACAGGTTTAGTTCAGCAGGATAATCTCCACATATTAACACCTCTTTATGATTTCTGAAGTAAGAAGCTAACGTTAGCCTATAAAGGAACTACAGCACGGTCACATGACTTCATGTTAGAAAGATCTCACTGGTCACCGGCTTGAGCTT